CGTGGAGCGCAGCGGGGACCTCCCCTCCTCCGTGCTGGAGAGGGCGTCGCCGCTGCCTCTCCGCTGTCCCTCCCGTGTGCTACCGGTACCGCTCTCCCATTCCCATCTGCAACCCCAGGTGCACCGCGCGGCATCCCTGCAAAGGGGTCCGGAGGGCAGGGCAGGTTGGATTATATGCATTCCACAGATGAGCAAACTGAGGTACCAAGGGCTCATGACTCGCTCGTGAGCACAGGCCTCTTCGTNCAGGGCAGGTTGGATTATACGCATTCCACAGATGAGCAAACTGAGGTACCAAGGGCTCATGACTCGCTCGTGAGCACAGGCCTCTTCGTTATGGTCCAGTGCCCTTCCCATAGTACTTTATGCCTCTGCTTTTGCCCCAGGGCAGCTCCGAAACTTCCTTACCCTACCGTAGGCGGGAGCAAGCTGCCCTCAGTCCTTGCTGCTGCTTGAATGGGAAGCCCCTAGTCCCTGCCTGCCCTCCATGGATAGTCCCTTAACCCCCAGAGGCTATCTCCCTGCTTGCCACCCGCCTCTGTGCCTATCCAGGCTGACCCAGGTCCCCAGCACCTGTGGGGCCAGGCCCAAAGGCCTCTCTTATACCATCTTAATGTCTACAATGAAACTACCCATTAAATATGCCTCACACTTCCCCAGTGGAGCCTGATAGAGTGGTGAGCAATGGAACCCCAGACCCTCTCTTCTGTCCCCCATCAGCCACCCAGGGACCTGCCAAACCCTGGGGCTGAGGGTCATTTCTCTAGCTACTGGTGTTGGAAGGGGCTGGCAGGCATGCCCTGGACTTCACCAATGCCCACCTCTGCCCACAGCCTTGGTAATGATTTCTATCTCTGTGGGCTGTGGAAGGACAGGATATTGGGATGTTGAAATAGCTATTGTAGGATGTTTGAATGTGGAATGTTGGTGCCTTTGGCTCACAATCCTGATTGCACGTTAGATCTCTAGGAGATCCTTTTAAAAAATACTGATGTCTGAGTCCTATTTTCAGAGACTCTGATGTAATTGATTGAGGGTGGGGCCCTGACATTGGGATTTTTTTTTTAAATTGAGGATTAGCTTACATTCAGTAGAATGCACTAATCTTCAGTGCACAGTTTAATGAATTCTTATATGTATAGTTGCATGGGTAAACATCATCCAGTTCAAGAGAATTTCCAGGACCTAGAAAGTTTCCTCATGCCCCCTCCCAGTCAGTAATCTTCTTAGAGACAATCTCTCTTCTGACTTGTGACACTGTTAATGAGCTCTTCCAAGCATCAATATTAAAAAGAAAATCTCCGTGTGATTCCATTTTGCAAACAGGGGTGAGAACCACCAATCTAGTTCAATTTACCAGGCAGAGGAGGGACTTAGGCAGGTCACACTACAAATTAAGAGCTAGCCTGGGACTTGAACCAGGGTCTCCTGATTTCCAGTCTGCAGCTGCTTCCACCATCCCATGATGGGAGGGTGAAGATAGACAAGCCCCATGCAGGTCCATGGGGAGGGACAGCTGGGAAGTCATTAAGTCCAGTTCCCTGATTATAAAGGTTGGTCAAGCTTATAGGGCTGGGAGAGCATCTGGCTTTTTGGAAGAATCCTTGAGGGTGGCTCAGCTTTCCCTGAGGGCTGCCAGGAGCCCAAGTCCCCCACCTGGGGGTCACCCAGTCCTGACTCCACTGGGGCTATGCCCTTGCAGACCTGGACGAGCCAGTGCTGACGGTGCACCAGACAGTGAGCGATGTTCGAGGCAACTTCTACCAGGAGAAGACAGTGTTCCTGCGCTGCACCGTCAACTCCAACCCTCCTGCCCGCTTTATCTGGAAGCGGGGCTCTGACACCCTGTCCCACAGCCAGGACAACGGAGTTGACATCTATGAGCCCCTCTACACCCAGGTCAGGATGGGCAGTAGCTGGCCTGGTCTCATGGCTCACCCTACACTCCTCCTTCTGCACCCAACAAGGGAGGGGGGCACGGGGGCTGAGGCCTTACCATCTGGAGTTTGGGGACTGCCCTGGCTAAAACAGTATGTTCTGACATTAGAAGCATTGTGATTGGGCTTCAGACACCCTGGGGGAGCCGAAATCAGGACAGAAAGCTCAGGGAACAGTGCTGGGGACACCCACAGTTAGACACAGCAGGAGTTGGGCCAGAGAGATGACTCCATTTCCCATAGGCTCCCTACAGTCCCAAGAAATGGTGATGAAGCCATCCTACCAGGGAGGGCTTTTAAAGGTGGCTTTCCTAGGTGGCTGTCCAAGCGTCACATGTGGCCATGGCCTGTGGGGTCAGCTCCATGTTTGTGTGGGATGCAAGACAGAGCAGGATTCCCTCCTTACCCCTCCACTTCCCAAAGTGGAGAAACTGAGGCCTGGTCCTGGCCAGTGTGCACCAGGGCAGCCCCAGACACAGAGAAACCCAGGGTTTGGAGAGTGCAGCATCCACCCAGACTCAGGCCCCCTGGGAATGAAGGATGTGGAGGTTGGGAAAGATAGGAATTAGAATAGGAATTTAGCCTCTGGTGCTGAGTAAATATGTGAAGGACCCCTGGAGACCCAAGCAGACCCCTCACACCAGTGGTCCACTGCTGCCCAGGGGGAGACCAAGGTCCTGAAGCTGAAGAACCTTCGGCCCCAGGATTACGCGAGCTACACCTGCCAGGTGTCTGTACGCAACGTGTGTGGCATCCCGGACAAGGCCATCACTTTCCGGCTCACCAACACCACGGGTACAGGCACTTCCCCCCCCATACCCTTGCCCACCTGAGCTGACTCCCCAGTCAAGAGACAGTGCCTCACCCCACGCAGGACTCCAGGCACATCACCACTAGTGCCATCACTGCTCCCCGCCCTGCTCCCTGCCTTTCCCCCTTTCTTCTCCCCCATCCTTCCCCAGCCCCCAGTGGTTTTCCTGGCTCCCTAGATCCCCACATTCCTCACGATTCCCTAAGACCCCACCTCCTTGTCCTCTCAGCACCACCAGCCCTGAAGCTGTCTGTGAATGAAACTCTGGTGGTGAACCCTGGGGAGAATGTGACGGTGCAGTGTCTGCTGACAGGCGGTGATCCCCTACCCCAGCTGCAGTGGTCCCATGGGCCAGGCCCGCTGCCCCTGGGGGCTCTGGCCCAGGGTGGCATCCTCAGCATCCCTTCAGTGCAGGCCCCGGACTCTGGCTACTACAACTGCACAGCCACCAACAATGTGGGCAACCCCGCCAAGAAGACTGTCAACCTGCTGGTGCGATGTACGTGGTTCCGGAGGAGTGGGAGGGAACTAAGAGGCAGACAGTGTCCCTGTCCTCCAAGAACTACCAGTGAAATGGGAAAGGGGACTGTCTGCTTCCTCTTGGTAGGTGATATATGCTGAGGAGACATGTTCCAGGCACTTTTATTTCCCTGCAATTCAGGGGTCTGCCAGCAGGTGGGAGGATTAAATTTTTGTAAAGTTTTATTTACAATTTACAATCTACATTTCCAAATATAACCTCAGCAATCCAAGAGGTAGGAAGGACTGGCATTGAGTACCTACATTTTTTTAGATTGGGATACTGAGGTTGCGAAAAGCTAACTATGGACTTCCAATCTTCAGGATAAATTTCCTGGCTTCCTTTTTGTGCACTGGTTTCCACATGATTCATTGAGTTAAAGTGAAAATAACACACCTTTCCAGATACCTCATGTGTAAATTGTTATTAGCAAAGCATTTCAGTGAGTCTGAAGATAATTATTAAATGTAAAAACGATACAAAACTTGGAGTACGATCTGAAGAAGTACAAACACTTTCCTTAGTAAACCTCAGCCTCAGTAGTTGAGCATTAGCTGCTTGATAGGCTCTTAATTTTGCTACTCTGCTTCAAGGGGACAACTTTAAATTCTGACTGGGTAGTTTTAGGTTGTTTGTTTGTTTATTATTTATTTTTTAAAGATACAGGCTGTTTACCCGCCCTTCAGCCCTTGAAAGTAAAGTGTAGGTCCTGCCAAATTTGACTCAGAGTCTTCTGAAGGAATCAACACTTTTTTTGTTGATCTTTCACTGACCAGTCTCTCTCAGACTCTCTTCACAAGAAGAAACTAGCTCTCTATGATTTTTTACTTAATCAGAGCAAGCAAGAATGTAGCAAGATTGTGGTTCTCTGATGACTATTTTTTTCTTTCTGATGCTACCTTTCCCATCAACAGATTATTTTCTTCTACCTGTTTTCATTGGGCCTTTAAAACCTGGGTTGATGAGGTCTCAATTTACATCAAATACTTATGGTCACTTCTTAGAGTGACATACAGCCTGCTTTGCCCAACCCCGTCCTAGTTTATAGCTGTTGTACCAGTGTCCTGTCCCATTAGCGTCCAATATTAAGAGTTCTGTCTAACTCTTGGATTACATCAGACAATATTCAGATTTTAAAAGAAGTCAGACTCTTTCCTTTGTAAACTCTGTGCTTTAATGTAATTACATGTAAAATTATTATATTGGGCTTTTATTATGAAAATTACACTAATTTGCTGCAAAGAGTTAAATAACACAAAAGGATAAAATGTGCAGATTAAAATGTCCCCTCAATTCCCCTCAGTCCTGCTGTCTAGAGTCTAGATAGAACCACTGTTACATTCTGGCGCATCCTTCCAAAATTTGTATGTTGATCATTCAAGGTTTAAAACAATAATACAAATAAAGTAGTGTAGTGGTTAAGAGCACAGACTCCAAATTAAACTGTCTGAGCCTTGGTTCCCTCCTTGTAAAATGGGGACACTAAAGTCCCGCCCTCATAGACTGTGGGGTGAGTTAAATGAGTAAACCTGTGTAAAGTGCTTGGAACAGTGCCTCTCACATAGTGTATGTTCAGTCAACAGTGACTCAAATGATTACTAAACCCACTTTTCTACAGCGAGCTTTTTTAAACTCTTAAAAACACATCTGAACAAGCCGAACAATTTCCCAGCAAAATGATCGTTTTTTTCCTGGTGGTGGGAGGGTGCAACTCCTAACCTGCAGGAGGGCCACTTTGAGGGGAGGAGCTGGGTCTGGATAGGAGTAGGACATTGACCCTGGCTTTGGGCCAGCCCCAGCCACCCTTCCCTCCCCATCCACTTGCAGCCATGAAGAACGCCACGTTCCAGATCACTCCAGACGTGATCAAAGAAAGTGAGAACATACAGCTGGGCCAGGACCTGAAGCTGTCATGCCATGTGGATGCAGTGCCCCAGGAGAAGGTGACCTACCAGTGGTTCAAGAATGGCAAGCCAGCACGCATGTCCAAGAGGCTGCTGGTGACCCGAAACGACCCTGAGTTGCCCGCTGTCACGAGCAGCCTAGAGCTCATTGACCTGCACTTCAGCGACTACGGCACCTACCTGTGTGTGGCTTCCTTCCCAGGAGCACCTGTCCCTGACCTGAGCGTCGAGGTCAACATCTCCTCTGAGACAGGTGGGCAGCTGGAGGGGCAGCGGGGAGGAGTGAGGGAGCTGGGGAGGCCCACAGAGGGGAGATGGGGCAGCAGCTTGGGAAAGGGAAACTCTATTTGTTCATGCCACACACATTTATTAAGTGCCTATTATATGCCAAACACTGTGCTAGGTGCTAGGGTAGAGTGGTGGGCAAGGTAGACTCTGCCCTCATTGAACTAAGTAGGGAGGCAAACATTTTTCAGATAGTCTCACATGTAAATATATCACCGCAAACTGTGATACATGAGCCTGGAAAGAATTTCCTAAGATAAATCTTTGATTTGAGATCTGAGGAAGGGCAGGATTTTAGTAGGCAAAGGAGAGCAAGGGAGGGTGGAAGAGAAAGACAGGCCAAGGAATCAGCATGTGAAAAGGCACTGAGGCAGGGAAGTGTGTGGACCATTTGGAGAGCTGAAGGAAGGAGAGTGTGGCTGGGAGAATGGAGGGAGATGAGAGTGGAGAGGTCAGCAAGGGCCAGATTATGCAGGGGATCATTATTAGCCAGAAGGATGGCTAACATTTACTGAGTATTTACTATGTGCTCTGATGATTTTATATTTATCTCATTTGCCTTCATGATTTACCTTATCGGACAGGTAGTTTGTCTTCAATTTTTAGAGATGAAGAAACAGGCTCAGAGAGTTTTAAAAACTTACCTAAGGTAACACAACAGTAAGTGGTGGAGCTGGGGTTTGAATCCAGGCAGTCTGCCTTCGGAGCCTGATTTTGGCCACCCCAAAGGGTTTGCCCTTTGAGAATGACAGGAGTTTGGAGGGGATGACTCTGGAGAGGGTCTCTAGAATCTCATCTCCAGTCCCCAGCACGTTGCACTGAGGAGCTGACTGACTTCAGCTAGGCCTCTTTTACTCTCTGTGATACATTGAGCCAGATGGCCTTGGTGGCCCCTTCCATCCTGACATCTGCACAGTGAGAGGCCAGGTGAAGCTGGGGGCTCAGGAAAGGTTTCTGGAAGGAGACTGACCTTAGCTGGGCTTTACGAATGGACCAGGCCTCCGCAGATTCCATAAATCTATTTCGCCAATCATTGTGCGCCAGGCCCTGGGTGAGGAGCTGTGGACCCAGTGCCACAGCCCTGTCCTCAGAGCCCACTGCCTAGCCTGGGGGAGATACCTGTTGCGGTAAAGCAGGCAAACCTTAGAAAGGTCACAGGAGCTAAAGGCAGGGTTTGCAGAGCATCCTGGGGACACTACAGAAGGAGTCCCAGGCTGCCAAGGAAGGCTTCAGAGGAGCCATGCTCCATGTGAGCATTAGCTGGCGGGGGGAGCCCAGGAGGGAAGGAATGGGGAACCCCCAAGGTGTATGAGACTTGGGTTGTCCAGGGAGTATATTCCTTACAAGTGGATCCCACAGCTGGGACACAGCATGGGAGAGGGAAGATGAGGCTGGGGGTGGCAGAGGCCAGAGCACAGGGGCCCGGTTTACAGAGCCAAGAAGTTGAGCTTTAACCTGAGTGTAGTGGGGGTTACAGTCCGTTAGCCTAGAGGGTGAAGAAGGGTTAGGAGCTAGGATGTTTTAGGAACAGGGAAATCAATGGGGCACAGGGCCATTTCCTCCATTTGGTTCATAAGCTTAATGCTTAAGACATAGAAGCTTTTTAACGACCTGTGGAAATGGTTTAGACTTGGAGAAATAAATTAATTGGCACCAAAATACAAAGAGAAAACTGCAGAATTAAAGCCAATAAATGTACAAGTGTTTATAGAGTATAAATTATGCTAACTAGATAGCTGGACCTCAGCATGCCTTGTAGAGTTATTTGCAATTTATATGTAATGCAGGACATTTTAATTTGTTTGATGTGATGCGGGATGGGACCCATGAAACTCTTTAAAAGATCTCCCATTCGGGCATTGTGTTGGGTTGGATGAGGTTTGGCTGCGAGTAATGGAAAAACCCTAAATAAAAGCGGCTTGAATAAGTTAGCTGTGTATTTCTTCGTCATGGAAAAGTGAGCAGTCCAGGCCGGAATAGTGGCTCTGCTCCACCAGGTCCTCAGGGCCCCACTCGGTCTTGTCTTGCTGCTCTGTTACCCTTAGCACCTGCCCCGTCCTCCACAGTGGCAGCTCCAGCCGCAGTCATCAGCCTGCATTCCAGCCAGCAGGAGGGAAAGGGGGGGGGG